CCCCACAGACATCATATTATTGAGGATCATATTATACTGAATTGTTTTAAAAAATAATGTCAAAATTATTTTCTTTATACAAAATAAATATATACTTGTTTCTTTTAATTTTGGGGGAGAAATATGATCCATACATTTATAATGAGATGCCCTGTATGCTGTTAATGTGTCTAGTGTCTTCTCTTATTGATTGTGTGTGTGTGTGTGTTTTCAGCCTGCATTTGGCCCCTGTGTCCTCTCAGACAACCAAGAAAGCACAGACGGCACCTGCTGACCCAGCCAGCCCAAACCTCAGCAAGTCCTTCACTTTAGGTAATGCAGCAGACATGAGAGTCAGCACGTCCTGCCTGACTGCTCAAAGGGCCTGTGGATTTTAATGCTTATGCTGTGCATGTGTGGTCGGCAAGCACGTACACATGTGTGAGCCTGTGTACTCCTGTACAAATGATATTTACGTTCATTATTAAATCACACACACATCCGTACACTCAAGGATTAGATTGCTGCTGTTTAATATCTCCATTGCATATTATCAGAGGGGAATACATGACAGAAGAGTGAGCTTATGTAACTGTGAATCAACGGAAACACTCATGTAATGTACATCATGTTGAAACTTAATCTGTCAAAATGGGCTTCATTCAAAACAGTAGAATTTTAGAAAGAAAAAAATATTCGTTAAACTTCCTGTTTTACAGATGTTAACAGTGTTATCAAACGGAAAATAATTGCACAAAAGAATGCCAAAAACATTACATACCTATTAAATAGCCTGAACTGGGTCTTAATCTGTTTTTCTAGATTTTAGGCATACATAGTTCTCTTCCTTCATTTATAGCAGTACATTATTTCCATAATGTGATTTTTGTCAGACCTTTTCTTTGTGATGTTTTTGTATCATAGATAATGTGATAGAGTTTAGACCAAAGTCTGCACTGGACATTGACGCCAGAGGCGCGATTTTCCTCCTCAGGTACCTCAACTCACTCTCCTGTATCTTCATATCTTTGATCTCACACTCATCTAAAAACAATTTAATGTACCGTATTGACCCGAATATAAGACAATGTTTTTTTTCTTGGAAATACATCTGAAAAAACGCGGTCGTCTTATATTCAGGGTCTAGACTTTGACATGTCAATAATACACCCACAACAATAGGTGGCGCCAAATACGCATAAAACGAGTGTGCCATGAAATACGTAATGTAATGCGTGTTGTAAAGATCGTGAGTAAAAACAAAAGAATAAGAAAACCTTACAGCTTCATGAGTCGTGACTGTCACATTAGCCTGATGGAACCAAACTCCCTTTGTGATTTTAAAACATAAGACAGTACCCAGATTTGAAGACTACAGTAAGATTTAACTTCTACTGTTAATAAGATTTTGGTAGGCTACTATTAGATGGATAGCCTAAATATCCTAATTCAGATGGGCTACCTGTTTTTTTTATCAAAAAGTGTATTTTTACCATACTTTCAAAACAAAAATTAAAATAGGAAAAATATGCAAAATGAAAATAATTGAAGACAAAATGTGTTTTACTGAGAAAAAACAAGATTTGGTTTTTAAAAAGCCTTTTTCCAAAAGGTACATCTGGAAAAGGGGGGGTCGTCTTATAATCAGGGTCATCTTATATTCGGGCCAATACGGTATGTGGATATGGATTAGGGGTCGACCGATTATCGGCCTGGCCAATTATGGCCTGGCGCTGATATTAAGCACAATCCACTAAGGTTACACTGAAGTTGCAAAATGCCTCAATATTTTCTATGATTTCCGCGATGCAGAAAATGTGGATGGAATCCAGTCATATAAATGGAATTTACTGTATGACGCGGAATGTCATGGAATTTGTCAAAGTTTGGATGAATTAATAAAAAGTAGGTCAGTACACTTAAATAGTTGCGATATGGACTAGTATCTGTAAATATTAAGCCGCAAAAATACTATTTAAATATGAATTCTGCATGTTCTGCGTGTCTCTGTGTATGTAAATGGCACGGACGTGCGGTTTTGTGTTCTACACATACAAAGTGTGCGACGCTCGCGGTGATTTCAGCTTCTGATGTCTCACTACATGAGGACATAAATACATGAACAACATCTCCAGAACTGCTCTGACTCCCTCTGAGAGTCACTTCATGATCATTTGACAGTTTCATTTGAGTAAAACAATCGCAGTGTTTCCCACAGACACTCTATTTGTGGAGGCATATACATGCAAATTCATTCTTTGCCAGCAGGAGGCGCTGTTGGAGTGGTAGAGATTGAGTGGAAGTTTTCCCCGGTAACGCTGTTCACAAAGCAGCACTCCTATGGCAAGCCGTTTTGACTTTTATTCATTCTCAGGATATGAATTCTTGATATCAACAATTCAATTTTCACTAGTTAAAATGTTATTTCTTGATATCAGGAATTACTTTTCAACTAGTAAAAACTATAATTCTTGATATCTGTAATTGTATTTTCACTAGTTAAAATGTTATTTCTTGATATCAGGAATTACTTTTCAACTAGTAAAAACTATAATTCTTGATATCTGTAATTGTATTTTCACTAGTTAAAATGTTATTTCTTGATATCAGGAATTACTTTTCAACTAGTAAAAACTATAATTCTTGATATCTGTAATTGTATTTTCACTAGTTAAAATGTTATTTCTTGATATCAGGAATTACTTTTCAACTAGTAAAAACTATAATTCTTGATATCTGTAATTGTATTTTCACTAGTTAAAATGTTATTTCTTGATATCAGGAATTACTTTTCAACTAGTAAAAACTATAATTCTTGATATCTGTAATTGTATTTTCACTAGTTAAAATGTTATTTCTTGATATCAGGAATTACTTTTCAACTAGTAAAAACTATAATTCTTGATATCTGTAATTGTATTTTCACTAGTTAAAATGTTATTTCTTGATATCAGGAATTACTTTTCAACTAGTAAAAACTATAATTCTTGATATCAACAATTGATTTTGAATGGCAGCCTATGGTGACATTTAACTAGTGAAAATGTAATTGTTGATATCAAGAATTCATATGCTGAGAATGAATAAAAGTCAAAACGGCTTGCCATAGCACTCCACTCACAAACGCTGCTTTATCAGATATTACATGCAAGATGAAATTAAAATGACATCCTACATTTTCTGAAGACAGTCGGGTTCCTTCAGAAATACAGTGATATAAAAACACCCGCACCGGGTTTCAATTTTGAAACGTGCAGTGCTCATGTTTATTCAACGAAGTCAAAGCCTTTTGGAAAATCTGTTTGTGGCGGTCAGTTTTAATATTGTGGCAGGCGCCACAAATAAATCAATGTATGGGTAACACTTACATAGGCTACAGAAACTTAAAGGTTCCTCATTACAAACCGTCAAAATATAAGTTCGGGTTAGCTTAAAGAAATTATCAGAAATATATTACTGTGGTGCAGTATGATTACATAATACTACTACAACAATTATTACAACTTTTGTTTAAAAAAATAATCACACAATACGCTATTTCTTCCATGTTTTAATTTTAATAGTAAAACCTTTGCCAAAAAATAAAGAGTTTAACTCTCATTTGATTAAAAGATAAATTAAACTGATTTATGCCTTCATTTGCACTGTACTGTAAATGAAAACTAACTGAAATTTCTAGTGTCACATAGGCCAAGACATTTCAATAAGCTATTGAATTAAGTGTGCCTGTAAAAGGCTATTAGTGTTATAGTTCATGAAAATAGTTGCAGCAACTATAGTTGCAACTTCTACAATATAGCAATATTGTCTATGAAGACAATTAAATTATTTACACTTATTATATACATTTTTTTAAGTTAATCCATTGATGTGCATTAGATGATGAATTGAATAGTCACCTCTACTATTGTAGGTTATATTTTAGCCATCAGAAAATAATTAATGAGGAATTATGAGAGGTTATGCTATTACACATACATTTCTAACATGTAAATTATTGAAGCCAAGACATTTCAATAAGCTATTGAACTAAGTGTGCCTGTAAAAGGCTATTAGTGTTATAGTTCATGAAAATAGTTGCAGTCTTCTTAACTTCTACAATATAGCAATATTGTCTATGAAGACAATTAAATTATTTACACTTATTATATACATTTTTTTAAGTTAATCCATTGATGTGCATTAGATGATGAATTGAATAGTCACCTCTACTATTGTAGGTTATATTTTAGTCATCAGAAAAGAATTGAGGAATTATGAGAGGTTATGCTATTACACATACATTTCTAACATGTAAATTATTGAAGCCAAATACTTACATTTCCCCAAGCTGTTTAGGTCTACTTGATCTGTAATTATCGGCATCGGCCCTGAAAAACACGTATCGGTCGACCCCTAATATGGATGCTTCTTGTGTTCTTTGGACATTTTTGTGAAGATTCAATTACAGTAAAATCAGATGAACTAATTTCAGTTTCTTTGCCTTAAAAGGATAGTTCACCCAAAAATGAAAATTTGATGTTTATCTGCTTACCCCCAGGGCATCCAAGATGTAGGTGACTTTGTTTCTTCAGTAGAACACATATGATGATTTTTAACTTGAACCGTTGCATCAGTCGTATAATACATGGCAATGGTAGCAAAATCTATGAGAGTAAAAAAAACATGCACAGACAAATTCAAATTAACCCCTGCGGCTCATGACGACACATTGATGTCCTAAGACACGAAACGATCGGTTTGTGCCAGAAACCGAACAGTATTTATATAATTTTTTACCTCTAATACACCACTATGTCCAACTGTCTTTGGGCGCGTGCGCACGGCATCCGATGCGTGAGGTGTGCACGCGCTCTGGCGTAGTTTACGCAAGTGCCGGAAGTAATCTCTCGCGCATATACGTCACTCATTGTTTACACAGTGCACAGTCTGGATTGTTCAAACCGACTTAAAACTAAAAGATTACGTTCTCTCACGCGAACTCATTCGGGAGTGGTGACTTTCCACGTATTCCCAACTTCTGAGCCTGCTCGCCTGACGTTATGGTTGATTGCTCTTCGGCTGGATATCAACACACCTATTAACGTAAACTACGCCAGAGCGCATACACGCCTCATGCACCGGATGCACCTGATAGACCATAGTGGTGTATTAGAGGTAAAAAATTATATAAATACTGTTCGGTTTCTGGCACAAACCGATCGTTTCGTGTCTTAGGACATCAATGTGTCATCACGAGCCGCAGGGTTTAATTTGGATTTGTCTGTGCATGTTTTTTTTAGTCTCATAGATTTTGTTACCATTGCCATGCATTATACGACTGATAGACTGCAACGGTTGGAGTTAAAAATCATCATATGTGTTCTACTGAAGAAACAAAGTCACCTATATCTTGGATGCCCTGGGGGTAAGCAGAAAAACATCAAATTTTCATTTTTGGGTGAACTATCCCTTTAATGTACACAACCAGTCTATGTGGACACTTATATAATTTAAAAAACAGATACAAACATACACACACACATATACAGTGGGGCAAAAAAGTATTTAGTCAGCCACCAATTCAAGTGTGTGTAGACTTTGTAGTGTGTTATGTCATGAGGGGTGTTCAATGCTAGTATCGGGATATTCAAGCATATTTCAGTAGTTTTCGTATCTCTGATCAAACAGCTCCAGACCAACTCCCAGAACAAGCAATACAGCTCGAGAGACAGAAGACAAAGGCTCTGAAATTCAAGTGAGTTCACAAACAAAATCATACAGTCATCCCAAAAACGTATTTGAACCCTTAAGCCACTCTTAAAGGGGTCATATGATGCAATTAAAATTTTTCCTTTCTCTTTGGAGTGTTACAAGCTCTTGGTGCATAAAGAAGATCTGTAAAGTTGCAAAGACTAAAGTCTCAAATATCTCAAAGAAATATTCTTTATAAAAGTTAAGAGTCAACCACGCCTACCTAAAATGGCTCGTTCTAACACGCCCCCACATGTCTACGTCACGATGTGGGAAGATTTGCATAACGCTGCCCAAATGTTCACGCGTAACTTTTATTCTCACTGTAGTATTGCTGTTGCCGCTATGTCGTGAAGGCGCTGTGTGTTTCGTTGTGAAAACGAAACTACTTTGTTTGGCCTTCCAAAAGAGGACAATATCCGCTTCGTCATGCCTGGAGCTGATCTGTGCTGGTCGCTGAGGAAATATATCAACTTCACGTTGTGGATCGCCAGATCAACTTTCACCGTGGATGAAGCGGAGTCCAGCCCGGGGTCGTCACATGTGGTTGCCGCAAGCCTGCCGGCCGCGCCGTTCTCAAGACCACCAGCCTCCGCTCACTCAAGCCCGCCCGCCGCCACTCACTCAAGCCGGCCTCCGCTCATTCTAGGCCGCTGGCCGCCACTCACTCTAGCCCGCTGCCCTCCGCTCACTCTAGGCCTCCGGCCTCCGCTCACTCTAGCCCACCGTGTGTTTCGTTGTGAAAGCGAAACTACTTTGTTTGGCCTTCCAAAAGAGGACACGACTAGAAATCAGTGGTTAAGTTGTATTTACAACACTGTTCAAGAACAGTTCAACCTAAATATTCAGATGTGTGCACCGGTATTTAATCGGTCCCGGGGCTAAATTATGAAAGACCGGAGTATCGATAAGCTCTGACGTTAGAGGTATTCGGCCAATCACAACGCACTGGATAGCTGGCCAAACAGAGCACACCTTGCTTTTCAGAACGATGAGCTTTGTAAAAATCGACACGTTTCAGAAAGGCGGGGCGTAGAGGAGAAACAATAATGTAAAGTATGTGGGAAATAATGTGTTTTTTGAACCTTAAACCGCATAAACACATTTCATTACACCAAATACACAAAATAATGTTCTTTTTAGCAACATATATGACCCCTTTAAAACGGTATAATTTTCATTCCATATAACAAAGTATCAAACCAAGTGACATCTGCATAACAATGATTCTAGCTTTACTCAAAACTAATTTTACTATTCCAAGACAGATGTACAATAGTCCCACTGTAGTTTATAGTAACCACAGGTGTTATTTTATCACATCAACATGTTCCACAAACAGAAAGTGTCCAAATACATATTTTTAAAATCCTAACAAACTTGTTTTTTGTGGCAGTCCAAAACTACAAGCATGCCCAGAAAGCCCAATCAAAACCAACAAAGCGTCACAGTTGGCCATTAATTAATACCTTATGCTTTTTCAACATTTAATCTCAGGCTTGCTTGTGGTCATGTTTACAAAGCTCTTTTGTTAAACCACAGCACCATCTACTGGATATATTCAACATTACAATCTGCTACTACCTCATTGCTATCCCTTACAGGGCCCCCTAAGCAGTGTTCACAATCTCCAGGTAAACTCTGCAGGAAAGTGGACCTCTAGGGCCAGAGTTGAGAACCCCTGAAATAGAATATAAATGACCATACTTTCATTTAATATACTTGTGTGTGTGTGTAAGGTGATGGTCCATCATCCAACTAGAAATGTCTGTTGAATTGTAATAATATTACCTTTAGATTCAGCCGAGTAACAACACAAACATTTGAGCAATACTGTATATATACAATATTAACTGCAGTTCTGGTTACTTATTTTGACTTTTTTTAATCTTCTATTTTAGCTTACATTTTTTGCTATAATGTAACATTCAAGTGTTCTTCTGTGTAATGATCAGAATCAGGTATTCCAGAGAACCGTGTAATAATAAAATACATAGCATTAACCTTCTGGTTGTCTTAAATAGCTTAAAATGTGGCACTACAGCACATTCCCATTCTATGACATTATTCGCCTGAAAATACAAATTATGTCTTTGTTTACTCACCCTCCTGTAATACCAAACATTCATTCATCTTCAAAACACAAATGACAATATTTTTAATGAGAACTGAGAGTTTTCTGCCCCTCCATCCCTTCTAAATAAAATGTTTATCATATAAAGTGATTGTGTTTCTTCAGAAGACTTGGATTAAACTTGATTCATTTGAATTACTTTTACAATGTCTTTATAAACGTTTAGTAGTTTTGGTGGCATGAACATTCAATGGAAAGACATAAATCTTAATTTATATGAATTCTTCTGGTTTTGGAACATTAGGGTGAGTTAAATGATGACAGAATTTACCCAACAGCTGCTCTCACTGAAACAGTTGTTTCATACACCCTCATCATGTGTGTATTTTAAATTAGATTCATGTATAAAAATGTATTTTGTAATAAAAAGAGACAGAGGACTTTTTAATCTGCAACCGTTCCATGCGGTGCAAATTTCACTTTTCTTTTGCAATACTATAGAGTGGTTGAAAGTGTAGATCATCTAATGAGGGAAGTTGAACAATGGCGTGTCCGCTGAGGAATGGGTGTCTGCTGCTGTCCTCGCCTCTGTCTGAAAATGAGTTTCCTCTTCCTTAGCCATCATAAATGGAAACTGTAATCAGAGGAACTTAATAGATTCAGAATGTGTTGGGACGGGTGGTCCCTTAAGTGGTCCCTTAAGGTTTTATATTTATACTGAAACTTTAAGCCAATGTAAATCAGATAAATAACATTTCTCTTTTGGATTTGAAGTATCATTTGAGTTTATTTTATTAATTTAGTTATCTTTTTTTTTCTGGCACAGTAGCTTGGACACCAGTGCATTCCTCCTCTGGCCACCAGGTGTCTCACCACCATTAGCATTTCCATTCATCTCATTGGCAAAAGCTCAGGTTAAACATTCTGGATGCAGGGTTTTTTCTGCCGTAAATGCCATGTGACCAAATATTTTGGAGTCAGAAAATAATTTCTTGATGTGGTGACAGCACTGACTGGGTGATGGCACACAGGCACTCTCCCAGCTCTTTACTAGGGATTATCCTTAGCTGTGACGTATATAATCATGTTGTTAGGGCCCTCCAAAAAAAAAAATATATATATATATATATCACAGGCTGATTGATTGAAATGTGAAAATATATTGAAACATCTCAAAATCTGAAACATTTTTTGTCTCTCTCTTCTTGACAGTTCCCTGTGCTGGTTCAACAGATGCGACATGCTCCGAACTGGGATATGTAAGTGTTACAATTCCTCAGGATATAATTCTGCAAAATCAACTTGGATTTACATGCAATGTAAAGAACAATTAAATTAATTGATCCAAGACATTAGCTATCCAGTTGTATAATTTACCATTATACAGTAAAAATTACTGGATCATAACTAGTGTAGTGTGTGTGTGTGTGTGTATGTGTATGTTGGACCAGTTTAAGTGTTTATGTAGTTAAGAAAGTCTTATTTGTATCACACTAGACGTTGTTCATTGTTTGCTCATAACTGGAGTCACTTAATCATGCAGATTTATGCTACAAGCTCTTTGTAGAATTGTACAGTAAGAAAGTTATTTCCCTTAACCAGGAAATTAATGTTCTTAGAATTGACAGACAGTTGACCCTGAGAGGTCAGCTAAATATTTACAGCGGATATAAATATTTATAATTAATTATAACTAGTTATGATTAATTATTCATATTTCCCCATGAGCTGATTCGCTACAGAATTTGGTGGAGGAAATGCGGGCATAATAAAACTATGGTTATGAGCCTAAACACTGTCAACCTAAAAGTGTGAGCATGACTTGAGATACGCTGTTGTGTCCCTATTTGCTGGCTTGTTTAAATGCAGATAAAATAGGGGCTTGAATTGGTACCGCTATTATGATTGGAAGAGTCTTTATGTATTTCATGCTTAATGGTATCAGTGTAAGGTTAAACTGATTTTAGCAAAGAAACCTTAATTTCAGTATTAAAGCATAAATCTGTTCTGACAAAGCATAAGTCAATCTCAGCACAGCGGCATGTCCAAACTGTACCATAATGAATAATGCTGTAGTGAAGAAGTCACAAAATTGCAGTATTGTTTGATTTGTTTCTTTGAAGAAGAAATCTCAGTACAGTTATATCAAGGTAGATTTGAGTGTTGCTCCTCTTTCTACAGCATAAAGGCCTTATAGTTTATAATTAGATTGAAGCAATTAATCTACACTTTGACCGCATATATACAAGCCTAGCAACCTGGTGGTCATTACTGTGTTTCACTCGCTGAGTGAAATTAAAGG